TTTTTTTTTTTAAATTTTTATACGTGTATAAGAGGGTGTTAATTAACAGTAACACCATAAGCTCACCACCCTTTTTTTTTTTTTTTGGTTTTATATAAACTTTTTCCTTTTTTCCTTTTTTTCCTTTTTTTTCCTCCTTTTAACAATAAGATGCGACGTAATTAACAAAAAAGGATAAAAAAAAAAAGATGTGCCAACCGCAAAACGCCAAAACAAAAAAAAAAAAAAATTTTATTCCGAGGTCAGAGTTTCTGTTGCTTTTATTGTTTAAAATGTCCGCATAAAAAAAAAAAAAAATTTGCTGTCGTATTTATTTCTTTCGCGTTCTCATTAATAATAATAATAATAATCGCGATGATAATGATGATAAAATGTTAATTTATGACAAACATTTCAGTGTAAATAACGTTTGTGTAAATAATAATAATAATAATGATAATAATAATAATGTATTCATTATTATTTCCTTCATAATTCCACGTAACAATTTTTTTTTCTTTTATTGTCGTCATTCCTGTTGTTATTTTATTTATTTATAAAAAATTGTTTAAAACGTACGACAGGATTTGACTTTTTTTTTTTGGGGGGGGGGGGCAGAATGAATCGAGAATGTGGGAGGGAGAAGAGGGGAAAGGGCGGAAAGAAAAAAGCGGAAACGAGTATATTGTTTTTGCGTTTTTGTTACGAAATAAAAAAATTTTCCCGCTGTCGTTTTTTTTTTGTTATTACGTCACGCGTGCGAAATAATACAAACAAATTAATCGGGGCAAAAAAAAAAATTATTTAACTATTTACACAATAAAAAAATTGACTAAATGCACGTCAAATGATATCATGCAGTGTTTTTCTCCCCATCTGCTTTCGTTTAATTTGTGCCCCGAATTAAAAAAAAAAAAATTATTATTATTATCATCAATAATTCTTCTTCCGCCACGGTAAAAATATTTAACGTGTCAGTAGAAATTTTTCATGCAAAGGTTATATATAATTATTTCAATGAAAAAAACAAAAATTTCGCTGATCGTTTTTTATCACGTAAGAATAAGATTTTTGGAAACGTAATAACGATGACGTCAACGATAACGATAATGATAATGATGATGATGGTAATGGTGGTGGTGGTGGTGATAGTGTGATGGTGATTCGCATTAGGTTTACCAGGTTGGGCGTCGTCTTCGTCTTCGTTTTCGTTTTTTATTTAAGTGCTCTGCACAATATAGGAGTGTCTCTCTTTCTCTCTCTCTCTTTCTTTCTCTCTCTCTCTCTCTCTCACTCGTACACACACTAAATGATTCATTTCATTTTTCGTTATAGAATTATCTAGAACACAAAAGAATCCTTCTTCTTCTTCTTTTTAAACATCTCTTTAAAAAAAAAATCTTTTACGTCGATTTTATTATATCGTCGTCATTCAAATGTAAAAAAGTTGTCGTTTGTTGTTGTCGTTGTTTGTCGTTTGTCGTACCGAGTTTTTTCTTTTTTCTTCCTTCCTTTCATACCTGATTAATTTTTTTTATTTTTCTTTCGATTTTTTTTTTTTAATGAAAAAACTCCGATGATGATAATAAGAACGGGAGATTTCATATCTCCTCGTGTTATCTCTTATCAATTTTTTATTATTACGTTAAATAAAACAAAAAAAAAAAATTTGATCTCGATTATGATAATAATAATAATAATAATAATAATAATTTTAATTGAGTGCGGAGGTTTTTTTTTCGGGTTCGGGTGGGCAGAAGAAGACAGTCGTAGTAATTATTAAAATTTTCCCTTGATATGATTCGATTAAGTCGAAATGTAACGGTAATGAGTACCCGGTACAGTACAATAACACCTACCCGTTTCACTTCAGAAGACACGAAAATTACAAACGATTATTTATATATTTAATGACACGCGCACGCGCACACACGCACACGCACGCACGCAAAAGGGCTGGACCGTGATTATCACGATAATTGATAACAGAGAGAGAGAGAGAGTTTTTAGGATTTTCCAATTTATAAGTAAAGGGTGGATTATTATGGGTACGGCCATTTATTGTAATATAAAATTCTAAAGGTACGTTCGTTATCGTGGCATTAGCTAACATCAATGATTACGTTTAAATGTGTTTTCAAACACGCCATAATTCGCATCGTAATTCGGCCGAAAAAAATTTTTTATTCAGTTTTTTTTTTTTCAAACGTGGGACGTCATTATTATTATTATTAACAAACAAACAAACAAACAAATGACGGCGGTGACGATGATAATAATAATAATTAAATTTTTTACATTTACGCGAAAGATTTGGTTTTTGTTACTTTTTTTTTTAATAATAAAAATTACGGTTTCGAGAGTAATATAAACAAATAATAATAATAATAATAACTCTCATACCATAGAGTAAACAAACGAATAAAAAGTTGTATTAAAAACTTTTTGTTTTTGTTATTATTATTATTATTATTACGTTATCGTCACTTTTTTTTATTTTTATGTTTAATAACATTAATATAAAAAAATTAAAATTATTATATACAATGTTTTGAAAATAAATTTAACCGGATTTTTTACTTTTACCGGATTAATAAATTTTTAAACGGATATGGTTATTGTTTTTTTTCCCTTTTTTCCTTTTTTTTCGATTTGTTTCGTGTTAAATTTAAAAAAAAAAAAGGACGCCATTTTCTTTTTTTATTTCTTAAAAAAGAAAATTTCTTTTTTTTTTTTTGAAAAAACCAGAAAAAAAAAGAAGAAGAAAAAGGAGAAAAAGGAAAGGATTATGGAAAAAGTCAAAAAAAGGTCATTCGAGGGATAATAAAAGGCGGAAAGAGAAAAAAGGATGGAGAGAGAGAGAGAGAGAAAGAGAGAGAAAATTTTTTTTTTTTTTTATAAAGTTTTTTATGTATGTATATATAACGTTCGGTGACTTTTTTATTCTTCTTCCACGATTTTTTATTTATTTTTTTTTTTTACCACCCCCCGTAATTTTAATACTTAACACGGACGCTATTACGACAAAGGAAAGAAAATTCAAGACTTTTAAACCGGAAATCGAAAATAAAATCATGATTATTATTAATTTTTTTATCGCGACGAATAAACGAAAAAAAAAAATTTTTTTAACGATAATAATAATAATAAGAATAAGAAAAAAAATATGGCAGAAGGCAGTGAAGCGTTTTAACGAACTCATTGTTTTTTTTTTGTTTGTTTTTGTTTTTTTTTTTGTTTGTTAAATTAACAATGGTTCATCAAATTTACACGTTTTACGTAAAATGTCACTATTTTTAACCCAAAAAAAACGTAGTTACGCACTCACACACTTACGCACGCACGCATTTGTGCGTTTTTGTTGCGAGACAAAATCAAAAAAGGTTTATCGAATTGTGACGTCATTAAATTTATTAATTAATTTAAATGGATGGACGGATGGATTGTGATGAATGAATGAATGAATGGACCATATGCAAGATGGACAAAAGGGAGAGAAAAAATCCACCCCTGCAAAAAAATTTTTTTTTAAAATTAATAAAAAAAGAATCAGTGAGGTTGTCGTTGTCGTTGTCGTTGTTGTTGTCCCCATTTGCGTTGTCCAAAGAAGATCACAAATCGAGTCTATTATTTTATATAATCCGCGTGTGTGTGCGTGTGTCGCTTGGACAGAACGCGCCATCATCAACCCTTTTTTCTTTTTTTCTTTTGGACAACTTTTTTTTTTTCATCCCCCTTCTAAAAAATTTAAAAAAAAAAAAAATGACTAATTTCAAAGTTTTTATTAATGTCCACCCGAGTGTAACCTTTCAGTTCTTTCACATATGTCCTCCTATCACTTACTTTGTCTTCGTTTGTTAATTTTTTTTTTTAATCGGTAAGTGGATCTTTTCTCGGTTACCTAGGGGCTAAAATCCTGTTTTTTTTAAATTAAGGGATGTAAGGTCGCGGAGGCGGAAGAACATGAGAGGAAAAAAAAGCGATAAGAACGCACCGATTGCGGTTACAAAAGGGGTAGAAACAAAAAAAAAATTCTGGTTACCGAACGAAAATTTTTTCGACCCCCCCCTACCAATCACGACGTTATTAATTAAAAATTTTTTTTGTTTGTTTGTTTGTTGGGTGGTTGTTGTTGTTTTAAACATCATATTTAACGATAAAAAAATATCGGAAGGTAATTTTAATCCGCGGGCTAGTGATATCTTCGTGGAAGAATCACCTGCTACTACACTGGTACCACCGCCGAGTATTCTCGTTGCATATACATTTCTAGAAGTTTCTATTAAAAGGTTTCCTTTTTCCTTTTCAATTCTAATCAAAATGGTCACGTGCCAGACACGAGAATGAGGTGAGGTCGAATTAAAAACTAAAAAAAAATTACCTGGATAATAACTAACTAAAGGTGTAGTGGTAGTAAAAAAAATTTACTCATCCACGTCCTTTCCCCCTTTCGTATAATTCACCCTTTTACCCTTCTTCTTCCATCCCCCTTCCACTCCTCATTTTTTAACCGAATCATTCCAAATCATCCCTTCTAGACGCATTTTTAAATAATTTGTAAATTCCAATTAATTTTATTTAAAAAAATATAAAAAAATGTCTTTGACGTCGTAGTTAAAAAAAAAAAAAAATTTATAAGGAGAATAAGAACAGCTGAAGAATGACATTGCGTCAATAAAATAATAATAATGATAATAATAAGAACAAAAGAAGGTTGAATAAGACGCCTAAAAACTTTTTTTTTTATATAAAAATCTTTGCCATGGAAACTTCTTGCTCATTCAAGAGCCTTTTGTACAAAAAATCTAAAACCTTTTCATTTTTTTTTTTATTCTATACTTACAGTTGATTAGATACTCGAACAACAAACAAAGTCCGCGTTAGCTCGTATCATTTTTTCTTTTTTCTTTTTCGGGCATTTTTAGAAACAAGGTCATCGGGGAAAAAGAGAGAAAGAGAGAGAGAGAGAGAGAGAGAGAGAGAGTTTCTGGTTTTTCTCCTCCCTTGAGAGAAAACACCCACTAATTTGCCAGATGTCCATAAAAGTATATCATATTTAATTTTGTTTTTATGTATTTTCCTTTGATTCCAATCAAAATTTTATAAAAGAAAGGGAGATTGAGGAAAAAATAGGAGGCGTGTTACAGGGTTGGGGGTGAGTCGAAAGGAGTTAAAAATTTTTCAAGTTTGAAATGGTGGACAATCATGACGAGATGTGAGCCTCGGGGTTTTTTTTTTTTTTTTTTTTTGAAAATTTCAATTCCGTCGCCCCCTCAATATATATATTTTGTCTCGAATTTCTTAACAAACAAACAAACGAACGAACGAACGCCTCGCCCTCTTGCACAAAACTTTTTTTTGTTTAATCCTTCGTTCACCCCCTCCCTCCTCTTAGATATAATTTAGTAAAAGATGAGGGTAGGGGGGAGGGAAAAAAAATATTTTTCGAATGATAAAATTGTGGGAGTGATAATAATAAAAAAAATTTTTTTTTTGGAAAAGTAATATTTCTATTCCCTAAAAATAAATAATTTTTTCCTTTCCTTTTTTCCTTTTTTCCTTTATCCGCCCCTTTTTTTTATTTATGTCAAAAGCTTAATATTGATTTTTTTTCCCCGAAAAAAAAAAACGATTTTTGGATAATGAATTTTCCTTTTTTTTTTATTTTAAATTTTTTGATTTTTTCATTCGATCGATCGATAGCAAACAAACAAACAAACAAACGAATGTACTTACCGGAATGAGTTGTATTACTTTCAGCATCTACACCCCTTATTTTTTTCACATCATCCGGACTACTTCCCGAATCTAATTCTTGTTTTATTCTCGGTTTTAATTCATCTTCGGATAAATGATTATCAACGTCATCTTTCGGATCGAGAGGACTCGATGATCCGGCTCTTCTTTTCGGTGTCGATGTCGTCGCTTCATCTTCTGCTATTTTAGGACTCGTAGACGGGGGTGAACAAACGAGTCGTACAGTGTTTGGGGTAGATGATGATTTTTTCGAATTTATCGGTGCCGAAATGCTCGGTCTCCGAGAATTGACGACTCCGAGTGGTTGTCCAGGTGCGGATGGACCACCGTCGTCGCTGTTATCATCGCATGCTTCACCAGATGTGACGTAACTCAAAGAATAATTTTCTTTGTTGCATATTAATATTTTATGCTGTATGAATTTGACTATGTCTCCGAGAGGAAATGGTTTCTGACAGCTTCCGCATGTTAATATGTCGAGTTGTGTTGCCACTTCCGTATCGGCTGAAATTAAAATTAAAACTATTAGAAAACTGGATACGTGTGTGTCTATGTGGGGGTGGATAACTTCAAAAAAAAAAAAAAAGGGAAAACGGTCATGCGTGGGAAAGTGACCAACCCCCAAACAAGTGAATACGATAAAAACAACGTTTTCATTGACCACTGTCCATTTATTTTGTTTCCACCCCTAAATATCCTATTGGTAAAAAAAAAAAAAAATTTTCCTTATAGTTCATCGATCGATAAGTGGAAATTTTCTTCTTCTACAGCCACGTTTTTCATTCCGTTTGATTAAAAATTTTTCCAGACCAAAAAAAAAAAACGATTCTTTAACTGACTTCTTTTTAAGGGTTGTGAATAATAAGGGCGAAAAAAATATAGGTTAGAAGGGTATTAAACGAACCCTATTTCTTTTTTTTTTTTTGACCCCTGGACAACAACAACAATAATTTTTTTTTTTCGTGAAATTTAAACAACTGTTTCACCTTTTTATCGATTTTTTTTTTTTTTTTGATTACACAAACGATGAATTTTCGGGGAAAATAACAACAACAACAACAAATTTGATTTGTAATTTTTTTTTTCGGGTGATGAAAATTGAAGAAAATGAAAAAGAAAGAGAAAGAGAAAGAAAAGTCATTTTCTATCGTCGTCTGGAAAAGAAGTAAAAGAAAAAAAAAAACTTTTCAAATCGTTAAGAGAGAAAAAGAGAGAGAAAGAAAAAGAAAATAAAAACAAATTTTGTTATCTTGGTTATATATCAAAATTGAAAAACAGAAGAAAACTTTTGGAAAAAAGATGGAAAATAAAAAGAAAAAAACTGCCCAAATATATATCGATCGATTATTTTAGGGTGAATATTACCACCACCACCACCGCAACCACAACCCTAAACGTTTTCGTGATGGTAGTCATTTTTGTTGTCCAGAAGGGAGGGAAGGGGGTGGGTGGAAATTACTCGGCAAATACCAAAAACATTTTTTTAAATATAAATTAACGAGATAGGTAGCGGATCAATTTCGTCCTACGCACACACACACACAAAATTTCTGCTACGTCACGTCATATAACAAATAATACACGAGAATAAACCAAACCTATTACCTTTGATACCTGGGGAATTTTTTTTTTTTTTTTTTACATCTTTAACCGTCGTGATTTTTTCATTTTATTTATTATTATCATTATCATTATTATTATCTATATATTAATGCCAATTTTTTTTTTTTAACATTCTTTTCTCCCTCTTGTAATTTGAATGAATTATTATTAAAAAGAACGAACGTTATTGAATTACAAAAAAAAAATTTTTTTTAACGTATCAGCAATTAAATTTTTTTTTTCGTATTTTAAAAAGACCTCTTGCCCGTATTGTTTACATATGGTAAAATAGGATCAAATTAAAATCTTTCAAAACGAAGTTAAATTTTCTATTCCCGTTTTATCTTTCAGTCATTTTCATTTCTGACAAAACGAAATGAGTTTGTTTGTTTGTTTGTTTGTTTGCGCTAAATTCGTTTTACCCATTTTTGTTTTTTTTTTTAATAATCATAATTGAAAAAAGTTTAAAGAGTTGACCATTCATATTTTGATTTATTAAACTGACCTTTGACACTCGTCAAACTCAATATATTTTTTGTTTTTTTTCGATTTCCTTTTCCGAACATTGTTTTACGTACCTTGTTTTTTTTTAATCGATGATTGATAACATTACGGATAGTAAAAAGAAAATTTAAATGGTTAAATCGTAGAAGAAGAGAAAATCGATTGGTTTATGTAAATAACCGAAGAGTGGAAAAAAAAAGAAAGAAAGAAAGAAAAATACCACAAATGCCAGGTGTGACTGATTGCGTAGCTCACGCAAAACCCGTAAATCATATCGAAGAGAGAGAGAGAGAGAGAAAAAGAGAGAGAAGAGAGAAATTTGATTATGTTATGCCGCCAATGCAAGAAATCGAAACAAACACGAAGAAAATGGAATAAAAAAAAAACAAATTCGTCGGGGGGGAGGGTTGTAGAGTAGGAGAAGGAGGAGGAGGGAGAGAGAGAAAAAACAACCACAACAACAACAACAACAGCAAACGTGTAAAATCCACACAAAAATAATTTCGAAATTGAATAATTTTTATTGAATTATATTCGCGCGAGTGGAAAAAAAAAATGTTTTGCGTCAAATAGCCGTCAGCTATATTTGGTGGTTGTCAACTTTAATTCAGTTATTGACCTTTTGTTTTCTTCTTATCAATACTATCTTGTCTTTTGTTCCCATGAGCTTTTCTTCAACCTTAAAATATTATGAGGGAAACAAAAAAAAAACAAAAAAAAATTTTTTCTCTCTCTACTCTTGAATGACGACTAAATAATAATAGAAAAAACGAAATTTTAACATTGTTATCATCATCATCATCATTATTTAAAAAGAGTTTGTGGGTTGTAGTTGATAAAGCACGTGAATAAAATTCAGTATCCAGCCTGCCTTGGGTTAAAGGATTTGATGAATTTAACAACGAAAATTCTAATAGAACGCCTTCTATAGAAGACGAAATTTCCACAACAACTCATTAATATCTTTTTTTGTTAGCTACACGTCCAAAAAAAAAATTTTTTTTTTTTTCTTATTTTAAATCGTGTATTCAAATCATCAATCATAATCATCATCGTCATCATCATCATCATCATCATCAAAAACTTGAGATTTCGGACGTTTGCGGTTATCAAAAAAAAAAAAAAAAAAAAAAAAGAAATTGTCCAGTTTTATTATTTTTTTTGTTGTCTTTTTACAGTCACGTGGTAAGACTTTTCAGGTCGTTATATCACGTGATTAAAATTTTACACGCGCGCTGGGAGAAAACGAAACCATTTTTGGATTTTCCAGCACTATATTTTCCAGTATCGTACGTGAGACTCTTATCACCAAACGTGGGTACGTTATCATTAAAAAAAAATTTCATTGACCCAAATTTGTTTTGTTTTACTTATGGAGGTGATGATAAAAAAAAAAAATCGATCGTTCGTTCGATGATGATAATAATAATAATAATAATGAAAAATTTGGCGGGAAAATTTTGTGTCAAATGTGTGTAAAAGCGTTTGCGCTGATTAATGGCAGATGGAATTTTTTTTTTTTTTTTTTTTTTGTATTTTGACATTTATCGGGATACTCCCCCTCCCTTCCCTCCCCATTCCCTCTCCCCCTCCCACCCGCTCTCCCGCCCGAAATTACAAAAACTTCACTGTTATGATCGATTTATAAATTTGCTTTTTTTTTTTTCTTTCTTTCATTCCGTGACGCCTATTTCTATTGTGTCCAAAAGTCGTCGACCTTTACTAACATATTGTCCTACTTACCATTTGTCCAAATCTTTTTTTCTTCCAGTGTCCTCCCCACCCGCCCCCCCCCCTCTGTCAACGCCGACGACGACGATGACGACGCTGCCACCCCTGATCGAAACCGTCAAAAGTGACCAAACGTTAAAAATTTGTTTGTTTTTCTCTTTTTTTCTTTGTATTTATTATTATTATTATTATTATTACACCCGTGTGTGTGTGCGTGTTTGTTTGTGTGCTTTACAAAACATCCGCCATTTAGTTTTTTTTTTCATAAAAAAAAAAAAGAAAAAAAATTTTTATGTTCGAAAATTCTTTTTCCTACCCGCCCCCGAATGTTCATTCATAATTTTAAATTCCTCCTCTTTAATGATTTAATCATTATCATCATCATCATCATCATCATCATCATCATTATTATTATTATTATTATTCATAAAAATGTTTGTTTTGCTACCTGTTATGAGCATAAGACAACAATTAAAAAATCGTTAATTAAGTTGTCCGGTTAAATTAAACAATAAGAAAAAAAAATTTTTTTTAACCTTAATACATAATAATCATTATTATCTTATTTAATTTGTACGTTTTGCTACCGTTCAATTTTTGCTTTTTTTTTGCTATAATTAAAAAAAAAGTTATTTTTGAATTTTCATTTAAAATTTATTTTTTTAAAGAAAAATAAAAAAATCTCATTATTAATTTTTTTATTTTTTTTTTAAATTTTGAACCGTAGCAAAAACGAATTTCTACTTTTGCTACTGCCATAAAAATATTTCACATAAAGTGTAAAAAGTCTTAAAAATATGTCACACTCCTTAAAATCTTCAAAAAGATGGGGAATAGGTGAAAAAAAAATATAATGAAAAGTGTAAAAATAAAATATATATCATAAATTCAAGTGGCAGTAAAAATTGTTTTTAAGGACTTTTTATTATTTTTTCTCCAGAATCGATTCTGGAGAAAAATCACCACTTGCTTTTTACTTGGACTGGAATTAACTTGAACCAGTGTTATTATTCGAATAAATTCAACCCCTTATTTATAAGAATATATAACGGTCGATGAAGAAAACAATTTACAATTTCGATAAATAAATAATTTTACTTTCAAGGTCACAAGGTTGTTGTGAAAACCCTTTCGAGCAGATGATGATGAACCTTAAAACCTTTTTCTTTCTTATCCTTTAAATAAATTTATAACAATAGATTTTCTGGTCCAATTGTCCGTCCACACACTCACATAATTTTTTTTTGTTATGGGCGTGGGAGTTTTCCGGTCAAGAAACCGTGAGAAAATAAACATCCCATCACCTTATCACAAAATCATTCATTATCAATAACCAAACCTTTTCGTACCTGTAAATCCATAATGATTTTAATCATTCACCCTTTTATATAGCAAACCTTTCTCGCTTCTTTTCCACCATCTCAAACCTTAGAAAAAAATTAATTATTAATAATGATAATGATAATAACGTTTCGCAAACGATTTTTTTTATGTTGGATTCGCCTGGATGATGAATCAAATCTTTCCTTTTCGGGGTCAACCGCACTCCATCAAACTTCCTTTTGGTATTGTGGCAAAAGGTTGAAAAGGTCATTCTTTAAAGTTCTTTGCCCTGTCATATATTTTTTTATTCATTATCACACTTCATTTTCTTTCGATACGGTTTATTATCATTATTATCATTATCGTAATTATTTTTTCCAGGAGTTTCGGCAGAGAGAGAGAGAGAGAGAGAGAGAAAAAAATTTTACGTCGAATACGTTCATGTTTTTTTTTTTTTTGTGAATTTGGCAATCATGATATTATTATAAACGTGAGATCGTTATGGTCTCGA